GACTGAAAAATTTCTCTAGGTCATACTGATCAGCACAAGACTTTGGAAATCACTGGTTTGTATTAATTCAGACATTATTCAAATCATTCATTTGAGTACATGTGTTCACTTCCATCTCCTCTGGCCACTTGGTTGGTGCCTTTAGTGTTTATCCCAATACTGTGAACAAAGGACCTTTTCAAACATTCTGAAGATTGCCTCTCAATGCCAGTTGCAGCCTTCTCTATAACTTTAACTGATATCATTGATAACACTTATTTAAAATTTAAAGGTTAAAATGTCCTCCTCATAACTTCCTTTATTACAGTAACAAAAAATCAATGATGTTGCTGTTTTATTTGGAATACCAGTTACTATGACTAACACTCTAACTATACAAAGGAAGTTGTTAATATTCAAAGGATTTATCTCCATACTTAAAAGTTATGTGCATATATAATATTTCACCGTGCTTTTGAAAAACAGTAAGAGTGAATCTTATGCAAATGATTTAAATAAATGATTGAGGGCTGGAGAGGGCTCAGCTGACAAAGGCGCTTGTAACCAAACCTGATGACCTGTGTTCAGTTCTCTGACCTCTGCACATATGTGGTGACACGAGTATGTGCTTACATACAAAATAAAAAAAATAAATGTGATAAAATTACAAACATGATTGAGAGCATTTTAACCAATTCACTGTCTTAAGTTTTACATGTGGAAGGGGGATGTGGAGGTGAAGGGGTAAACTGTGCAGTTATTTCTCATGATGTCATCTGAATTTGAGCTTCTTTGTACAAACAACTGTTATACAGGTATGCAAGAAAAAATGAGTCTTTGTAGCCTAGCAATGCAGTGCTGGTTACAATGTACTCTTTCTTGAAAAACAATCTGTAGAGTAGGGATAATAATCTCTATTAGGTGATTAATTTGAGTGCATTGTTTGAGCTGTTGTTTCTGGATGATTTGGGATCCAGTTTACTCAGGTCCATGTTTCTGGGCTGCACTTTGAAGGCCACCTGTTACATATGATATGACCAAGTATCTGCTGGCATATAAATGAGCTCTTGGCATAAATCGACTCTTGCCACCACTGCGTACTATGTAACAGAAATGTTAACTTGCTGAGGTTTTGAGTACCGGACTTTAATAGCAAATACAGAAATAAAGAAATGAAGACTGTCATGTTTAAATTGTGGAGGAACATAACTTCAAGTCTAGAAACATCTCTCAGAAAGATGTTTTTCTCTATGAATACATTTATCATTCCAAATGACCCTCTTAAATCCTGATAATCATTTATAGAGTCTTCACAATAGATTCCCACTTTCCATTTCACCTGCACCCACTATGGGAGGTGATGCAACATGTTTCCAGTCCCCACCACTGGACTCTCTGTTCTCCCTCTTCTGGTTCCACACATTGGACTCTTCCTTACTCAGTGCAGATGCTCATGATTCTTTCTTCCGTTTCCTTAAATATCACATATAGAAATTTCCTCTAGCCACCCGATTGGGAGATCCAATCTTGGTATTTTTCTGAGTCATTTTTCAGATGTCAGTTCAGGTATCCCTAATATTAGGTGAGTAAATGGACAAGGTCCAAGCCAGGAGGCCAGTAAGTAAATAAGATCCAGGTCACAAGGAACGGGAAGGAGCTTGCAATCTCTTAAAGATTCATGTATGTCAAGATTTTTCTGATCACTTCTAATTTTTCTTTTTCCAAAAATGACAAAGCAAACTAATAAGCAGATGCCAAACCAAATCTCTTTTCAGATATTTGAAAACTTTTGCATTTGTTTTAATTTTTGTACTGATATTTTTAAAATTATATTTAACTGTCACACTGTGTAAAGTTCTAGGAGGCAGCATTTCAACTTATCAGGAGTGATAATGTGAACTAAAGTTGTTCCTTATTCCTGTGTAACTGGCTATAAGAGAGAATATTCTCAGAAAATAAGAAAAGAGCATAAAATCTAGGTATAGTTCTTCACAGGTTAATTTGACTAAAAAAACACTTTTCATATAGGTCACAAGTGAGAAGCTGCAGGATTCTTTATTTTTAATTTTACCATTGAATATATAATTACTGAAATCCTCTAAGAAGAATGTCCTATGTTGTGACAGCTTCCAAGACTAAAACATGTGGGGAATTTCTGCTTGATGCACACAGAGTATCAGTGAGTAGTCTTTCTGAGAACAGTGTGCTTGCAAACATGCTTACATATCCATCTTCTATTTTGCTAAATTCTGACTTCTCTTCCTGCTAGACATGCTCATTCTTAACCAAAGGAAATGCATTTTAGTTGTTAGAAGGAAAAATAATTTTACTCTAAGAGAAAAAGAAAGTAAATTACAAATGAAAATATTAAATCCCAGATGGTAAAACAGCTAATGAATAAATTAAAAACATTTCCATCAGAGCAACAAGAGCATCCTTGTTTTTGTAAAAAAACTGAGAAATGTCCCAAAATGAGACATTCCAAGGCACATGGCTCTAATTATGAAAATGCTGTTATCGAAGACGAATGCTCAGCAGTGATAGCCTTTGATGTTGGCTGTGTGCTCTAATTTATTTCAGTATTACTTTGTGATTGGTACACTTAAATCTTGTGGATGTGGGCTAGCTATATACTCCTCATGTCATGGACTAGGTATGTACTCCTCCTCATAATGTCATGGGCTAGCTATGTACTCCTTATAATGTCACGGCCACATGAATTAGCAGAACCCAATAGACCAGGAAACTCAGAAATTCAAATTGTTGATTCAAATGACTTAGGAATGAATGCTGACAGCCATGGTTTCATCCAGGTGTGAAGTGTAAGAGATCTCCTTTTCTAACCTGCATGCTGCCTGGGGGCCACTGTCTTATTTATTGTTGGTGTTCTCAAGTGGTGAGAAAAATTGTGAGTTAACGCGTTTTTTTAGACCTTTTGTCACCATAGGAATTCACTACAATGCCAAAAATTTCAGAGAGAATTGGCTCAGATAAGGTAATAAATTTTGGGTAAAATTTATTGGAGCCAACTACACATTGCTTCAGATTTTAAATTAGTGCAATAATTGAGGTTATTTTGGTAATAGATTCCTACTTTACATATTATAGAGATATTTATGGACTTAGGGTTTCACAAAAGTGGCTTGTAAGACTGCCAAGACATGTTAATTTGCTTTGGATAGTGAATTATCTTTATGTAGGGCTAGCTTATGTATACCATAGCATCATTTTAATAAATGATATTCTTTCTTTTTTCTTTTAATTTATTTTGATTTTTACATTCATTGGTGTTTTGCCTGCATATATGTCTGTGTGAGGGTTATGGATCTCCTGAAACTGAAATTACAGACAGTTATGAGTTGCCCTATGGATGCAGGGAATTGAACCCTTGTCATTTGGTAGAGCAGTCAGCGCTCTTAACTACTGAGCCGTATCTCCAGATTCAATAAATAATATTTGTAAACACTTAAAGAATAAAAATATTTAAGAGTGGTGATAAAACCTGTAATCCCAGAATCTGAGAGGTCTGTAAGAGGGGGATTATGAGTTCTAGGCCAGGCCTAGGATATGCACTGAGATACAGGTCATGTGGGGCTACATAGAAAGACCCCATCTCTAATTATAAAACAAGCAAGCAAAAATAACAATAAAAAGAAATCTCCAACAGGGATAAAACCCCTGGCTGTGTATGGTAGCCCATGCTTTTAATCTCAGTACTCTGGAGACAGAGGTAGGGCATCTCTTTTAGTACAATGAGAGTCAGCATCATGAAACAAAACAAAATAAAACAAAACGACAAAAACAAAGCCACACATATATGCATATATATATATATGAATCATTTAAAACGCATTGTTTATGCTATGCTACACTTTGAAGTCAAGAAGGGTTATGTTTGGGAAATTTAACACCCACCTATGAGAACCTTTCCCTAAAAGACAGCAAGCTGAAAGGACTTCCTGAGGCTGGATGCGTAAATTGGGTATTATGTCATTTAGTATCAGCAATAAGACTGAAGGAGAATGAAATCAAGCTAGAAATGATTTGACTTTTATAGTATTTGGTGTGATAAAAAATCTGCAAGAACAATTAACTCTAGGAATTTCATAGTAATGGTATCTTGTATAATTTATGTATTTAAAATACACTAACTGCTCTTGCTACACTATATGGAAGTAGACTTTTGTTGTTGAAGTCAAGGGTGAAGATGGTTAGTAAGTCTGTAATTCTTTGCCTAGTGGTCCTGCAGTTAAAGTAAGTGTGATACATTTGCACAAGTAGTAAACACTTTATTATTATTTTCCTTAAGACTTTTATTTTTAGGCCTCAGACACAGGTTTCTTAAGCCATGTGATCCTGAGAAATTCCACTAAAGTGATTAAATAGATGGACATCCAAAATTTGAAAATATTAAAATGAGTATTTAGAATATAGTTTCTAGTCATTGAGGAATGGGATTCATTTAGTTATTGGATGCATATGTACATATGCAAATCCTGAGAGAATCCTGTTTATTTATTCCTATGATAGTTACAAAACTCTCAGTTTAAAATTATTTGATTTTGCTTACCCAGAATGGAAATGCACATAATTTTTGACCATTGACCAAATTTGGGCAAACTGAAAACACTGGATGACCTGTTAAAGTCATCTTAGTAAGATCTAAGATATGTTTTTGAGCAGTCTGGTATGTTGGAGAAGGTATTGATCCTGAACTACAAATCAGGTCACACATTTTGGTATCAAATTTGTTTCCTTCAAGCTTCTGTAAATAATGTAGCTCTAGGGGTGGAACCCAATTGCAGAATATGGGAACAGAGGTCTTTAATCCATTCATTGGAACTTGGGAGTGATACGTGAAGCTAATTTTCACAAAAAGAATGCAAAGAGCCTATATGTAAAAAGAACATCATATTAGGTCGGGCGGTGGTGGCGCATGCCTTTAATCCCAGCACTCAGGAGGCAGAGGCAGGCAGATCTCTGTGAGTTCGAGGCCGGGCTGGACCAATAGCCTCCAAAACAATACAGAGAAACCTTGTCTCGTAAAACCAAAAAAAAAAAAAAAAGAACATCATATTAAAAAATCCATTCTTATGGTCAACTGGCAGTGGTATTTTGCCATGGTTTGTATTGTTAAGATGTTGGAGCCTTACAGTTTCATGTATGTTATCATTCTACTTTGTTTTGTTGTGAAGACTAACATATCACTGAGCCAGGATGGGAACCAGTGGGTACGTCTTCTGGGAAAGGAAAGCAAATAAAACACTGAGTTTCTACCTTCATGCCTGTGGTTTGTGTAAGTCTGAGGGTTCAGTGGTCCTTTCTAGCAGTTTTCTCCTCACTGATATCATCAGCCAGTGTTTCAGAATCCTACCTGAGGTGAAATAGTGGTTTTCCACTGAGGACAAAACTTAGGATGTAAATGTATCATTTCATTTGTTTCAAATTTGCTTAACATTATTAAAGACATGAATGGCTACTTTTTCCTGTCCACCGAGGAAGGTCACATGGGTTGTTCACTGAAGTTAGCCACAGATATTTGATGACACAGCTGGCTGACCTGATGAGCTGCTATCTCAAAGTTAACCCCAAGCAATAATCATTCTAAATGAATACTCTTTCCAAAGTAATTTTCCTTGTCTGGAATGTCCATGAAGAGATAACTGAACAACTTTCCCAAGTGATGTCATATTGGTGAATACCTACAATAAACGGTACCGACAGGTGAAAGCTACACATAGGGGTGCTCGTTTTGCAGCTAGCTTGGTACAAGTTTACAAAGTAAAAGGGCAATAAATATATTCTATTACCATTTAGTCAAAGGTTGTATGCCATTTTATCTTTAAGTATCCCTGTGAGGTAGCTTAGTGAGATCTCTGCCCTTTTCAAACAGTGATAGATTTCCTACTTAAGAGCAAGGAAGTCTATTGCTGAAGGGATATGCATAATTAATGGGAACATAAGATAAGCCTGCTGCATAAGCTCTGTGCACACCTTTCACAGAACGAAAGGTCGGATTTTTCAGTAACAGACTTTTATGTCAGAGGAGAAAAGAAGCTGGGATATCCTAAATCCATACAGACACAGACGCTATAGATTGTATCAGACTCTTAAAACTACAGCTGCCTATTCTTTTCTTTTTCAAGGTCTCTCACAATGACTGCTAATACTCAGAAATCTACTGACTCTGATGTTGGAAGTGATTTCAATGTCCAGCGGGAGATCATATTCCCTTCTCACAGTTATGTTTCTCAGTGTGCTGTGGACAACCGTTACCAAGAATCCAGGCTAAATCTATTAAGGACTGGAAAGTGACATATTTGTAATCATCTCCACTTATCTTTTACCCATGGTGCTCACTCCTAATATTGTCCAGGATCTCTTCAATGAAATCTTCCAAAAAATTAAAACTCTTATTTCTCCACTGGTTTGAGAGAGCCCTGGAGACAATGAAGTCGCTTTAGTGACTGAGTAACTGTATTAAACAAAGGGAAGGCAAGCATACCAGGTATGCTATAAGCTACACAGCAAACAGGAACATGTAAAAACGAAGGGAAGGAAAGCATATCAGGTATAGGGAAGGAAAGCATATCAGGTATGCCAGTTACGAACGGCTAAAACCAGCCCTAACTTGGATGAACAGTAGTTCAAAACATGGAGCAAGAATCACCAAATGCCTGTGAATAATTCCTACTCCTATATCCTCAACTCTTCTTTTGATTTTTAGAATTTCATAAATAGTTTGACCTATGATAGCTTTCTTAGGAAAAGTCAATTGGGCAAAATAGTAGAGACTACATTCCAATAGTTTATAAAAGTGCAAAATTATCAATGAACTTATTTATAAATATTTTTATTGTAATAAAAATAGCTATCTGGCAAAGGCTCCCAGTGTAGTCCAAGCTCCTATTACCTTGGCAACCTCTTTAAGGATGTAGAAAAGCTAAGATACAGTCAATACAATCTACAGACACTGCAAATACTGGTTCCACATATTTCTTTCTTTGAATTACTTTTCATTTCACAAGAAAAGCGAACAACTTCTTTATTAGCAATAGAGAGGGACTATCATTAAATGCATAAAAATTGGTCAAAATCATTATATGTATTAAAGCATCCTGAAGATGATACTTTTCTCAATGTTTATTTGAAGCCTCTTTCCAGAGTCCTTCAACTTCTTGCTCTCATGTACAAGAGTCTACATATCTGGTCATGCTTAGAAATCCAGAAGCAGGCTCAGTGTCTGAATCTTACAAACAAGAGCACAATCTTCCAGTGGGATATAGTTGCACATAGCTAGGTTTGCTAGCAGTTAAGAACTGGTAGAGTTGAGGCACCATCTGATCCTCTGTGCTATTTTCTAACCTATAAAGTCTAGTGTGTAAGGACTTTAGTGATGCCACTCTTCTCTATCTCAGTTTCTTAGATGTAGCCTTGTCCATCTTTCAGTATCTTCCAGTCTCACCCAGATGTCATCTACCCAAATTCCAAAACATTTGGACACCGAGCACTACCTCTAGATGAACATTGGTCATCTGACACAGAAACGGAAGTATGGCAGCAATCATGTGCAGCACTTGCGTGCTGAACATCAAGCAAAGACCTTTCATTTTGGTCACCATTGCTGCAGTCATTTTTTTAAAGGAAGGCTATAAAAGAAAATGCAATCATTTTTCTGTGAAGGGTACCTGAAGATCATTGCTGAAAAAATGCTAGCATAAGGGCCTGCACCACAGAGATGGTGTGGAGTTTTGTGTTTGGATTTGAGACAGGGAGACTTCAAGGGCATACTAATTCAACCATAGATGTTTTGACTTGATGCCGTAAAACTTTGTCATAACTCTTTGTTGTTGGTTTGTGTTTTTTTTTTTTGTAACAGGAAGGGCAAGAGTTTTGTTGTTTTTAAAAAGAGAATGAAAGTGATCTCTAAATTCTCTTGAAGTAAATGAGAGCTTTTAGTGTCACCTTTCAAAGAATTATCGAAACACTGTGCAAACAGCAGGAAAACTGGTTGAACATAGACTTCCCTCAGGGAAGAGTGAATAACTCACAGAATGCTGCAGTCCCAGGAGACAATGTCACAATGCCATTCTTAAGGTGCCATAGCTTCTGGTTTAGTATGACCTTAGCAAACTCAGAGCATGTAAGCATGTTTAATTATTGGCTAATGCAGTCTGCCTGATCCTTTACGAAACATATCAGACTTAGCCCCTGGGGTTCTCCAGTGATCATCTTAGTACAGGTGGTTGCTGCTGACATTATGAGTAGGGAATTTCCTGATTGCTTCCCTTAGTATGAAGTTTTCTGTGGACTTTAGGTCTTTTGCAACCAAAGTCCTATGAGACATTTATGATAGGGGATATAAGAAGTTTAATAAAATGTGTAACAACCCTGAAAATAGTGTCTTTAATAATCTACATACTATTAGTAACCATGCATGCATTGTGCCATGCATTTGTAACTATTTGGTCATAAAAATATCTGACTGTAATGACAATATTTATAGTCAATGTATAAAAATACACAGAAATTCTGAATAGCAATAGTTAATCCCCAGCTATAGTTGTAAGTCTAGAAGGATTAGCTTGTTATGGTGAAGTGCAATGAATAATTACAATATGGACATAGTTCTTACACTCAAGTTCAACATACAAGAATGGCTATTATAGCATCATAGGAGCTTTGTGTGTCACAATTCTTCCTTTCACATCACAAGATAAAACATGTGAATTTATTTCTGTGTAAATTAAATGGAGACCAATTGGGATAAAGACATTCATGTAATATAGACTTAGATGAGAATAGCTCTCTCATAGTCTATTCACGCACAGCCTCTAAAGAGGTTACTGCAAGAACTCACAGGACAATGTATAAGTAAGTGCACATTCCTTCAACAGACTTACACATGGTGTAGGTTAGCCAATGGAACAGTTAGACAAATCTTGTCTGATATTTTAGGTGAGTACCTCTATGAAGAAAGTGGAACACATATGACACTTTCTGTTTCACATTCTGATGGGGACACAGTCCAGTTTGAACAAGAAAAGGTGTGGGGTTCACAAGCTTTTAAAATCTCCCTTTTTAAGGAAAAATGCATTACAATAAAATGAAATATTCCACAAACCTAAAAGATTTCTTACTGATTTCTTCTAGGATTTGACTTGTCCTTGGTTTGCTAGTAGTTAAATTCCTAACTTGAATGCCGTCAATACTTCACAAATGAACAAAATGAGCATAAACTTGGAAAAATTGAGGGAGGAGCATGCAAGCTACCAGACATGGTTGAAGATGGAGGGTTACCTGCAAGTCATAGTCTCACATTTTATGGTGCATCTTCGTACTCAGGGAAGGAATTTTTGGAAATATTTGCCTCACAGTGAGGTTGGAAAGTTAGAATGATGCTTGGTGAGATCCTTCTGGGCTGGCATTATTTCCTAAGACCAAGTCAAAGCATTTTGGGTGCTCTATTAACTCTTCCAGAACATGTGGCTTCACTGCAGTAAATTATTGCTACAATTTCTTAGAGAGAATCATGTGTTCTGGAGAAGATAACATCTCTTCTAAAATGCCACCACTCTAGACAGTTGGACAATGAAAAGTTCCAATTTGTCATACACATTTAATCCTTGAAGATATTACCTAACATACAGACAAGTCTTTTTCCATGCAAGTGAAGTGGGAGAGATTAAAATTGTTGGTTTGGCAGAATATGTGGCTGTACTCCCATAAATTTGGCAATTGGCAAGATTGCTAATTAGTTTGGCAATCTTTTTGTTTGTTTTTGCATCTGAAGTGGCCTGTCATAATTTTAAAACTCAAACAAGTTAACTTTAAATACATAATAAGTGAAAGAATGAAGTATCTCTGAATATGGCCTGAAATGGAGGGACATGGAACCCTTAGCTTCTAAGTGGTCATTTTTACAAATAGGTGTGAATGAAAACAATCTTCATAAAAGATGAGTAACTGCAAAAGAGGAATTCTGTTCCCCAACTCCATAGACTTCTCAGAAAATTCAACTCCAAATATAAGATCATGGCCCAGAGGTTAACTGTCTGAAAGCCAGTTCTCCCTAGCACAGAAGTTCATGAGATGGAAGACTGGCCTTAACTGTGACATGATTTTATAGATAAATCAAGGAAATCATCAAGCTACAGGCAGTTATGTCTCCTACTTACTTCTATAGTTATTGCACCCACAGTGAGACACTGAAGCACAGTGGCCTTAAGGTAGAATAGAACAAATGCCGTTCAGTGAACTGAAATTCTATTTAAATGGTGTCCATTTTAAAATCTGCATGGTTTACACAGCAGAGCTCTCGCTTGACTAATCTAGCAATATCATTTCCAAACACTGTAGAAGGAATGGAATTTTCTGTGTGTTATAGTCATGTTTTGCCTTTTAAGGCTACTAATATTATTAATGCAGTTAAATTATACAACACAAGCTGGTGGAGAATACCAACTTTCTTCAGGAAAAAGCTTGTTAGCAGATTGTGTAATAATTGGGCTTTTGTTTTATTCTACCTGGAAGTAAATCGCTTCTTAGGTCCCTACTTGGCATGGGAAAGCAATTTTCTAGTAACTTTCTCCAACATGAATAACAATCTTAGTTCATATAAGTACCCAGCAGGCTGGGGCATAGACTTAAACACTAACTCAATGGAAACATTCACCTCATTACTTTTTTTTAATATAAAGACTCCAGTGGCAATTACACATGGTTAGTATGGTCCCTGCAGACAGCTATGCTTGCTGTAGGAGCTTACTTTCTAGGTAACAAGACAAGGACAACTGCAAAAAACTGCATAACGATGCTGCAGCAGCTATGATGACTGCCTTCATAATGATCATGGCCTGGATTAATGCTCCAAAGTTATTCCAAGGAACACACTGTAGTTTATAGAGTTGGCAAGTTCTTCTTATGCTAAGGACTGTTTGACACTGGAATGATGAATGGTTCTGGCCCATTTTACTCTCCAAGTTTCCTGTGTCTCTTCTTTCTCCTGTGTTAATTGATATATATGTGGAATGTTATCTCATTCTCTTTCTCTCTCACACATACACTGTATACCCTTACATATGTATGCAAGTACACTATGCTTTAAGTGCTCATTTGCAGGCGGGAGAGATATCCAAAAGCAGCCATGCTGGCCTTCCAAAACCACAGAAATGTTAAGGGCAATGATAAGCCATCTCAACTAATTTAGGTTTTAAACATTTCTCCACATGCTGGTTAGCTCAAATATCTTTTGATTGTGTGTGTGTGTGTGTGTGTGTGTGTGTGTGTGTGAAGTCATCCCAAAGTTAGAATCTCAGTGACCGACAACATGACATGTAGAATTTAATGGATTCAAATTTCTATTTATTTTATTAATCACACAGTTGAAAATGCTCTTGCTGTCTAGACAGTTGAGTTGATTTTAAGTGACCATTTATATGTTTTGCATCACCTCTAATGAGCTTATATATTTGACTAAAGGTGATTTGACTTTCTAGAGAAAGGCCAGCCTATCTGCAAATGGACACCTCCCTTCACCCAAACACCAATATACTCTAAAGACAAATATAAGTATCTGTATACTTATAAGTACACACAAAATGGGTTGGGTGATCCTTTGGTTTAGACAGGATTATATATATATATACTTCCCATGTGCACATGTTTCCTTTGACTGACCTGTTCAAAAAAACAAGCATGAAAAGTGACAGGCCAATTTAGACATTTTCTATGTCATTCTGCCTATCTGGAGACCACCTACTCTCTCTTTTTCATTTATTCTAAGTATTTCTTTTGGATCTTTAGGTCTTCCAGCCTTCTGCCTTAACCCATTCCTTGGCAAAGCTCTAAGATCAACGTCTGGGAATTTATCTCTCATGGAGAACAAGGTTGCCAAGAATTTTCCCTCTTTTTATTCCCTCCCCGCCAACACAGGAAGCGGACCCTTGGATGTGTTGTGAATAATGCACTCTTGATCTGACTTGCCTTGTTACCACTGGCCAGCCCAAGCAGCTGAGGTCTGAGCTTTACTTGCCCTGCATCATTGTGCAACACTGGAAAAGAAAAAAAAAGTCTCCACCCTCAAACTGTGGTGACGTGATCAGGGTTCTCTTGAATTTCTATGCATTCAATTTCCTCTCTCTCCTTTCGTTTGGCACGTTTCTTTTTCTTGTGGTGCTTTTTGGAAGGAGGGAAAAAGGTTAGGAACACAGGTAAGATAACAAAACAGTGCAGAAGCGTGCAACACCCGCTCAGCAGCAAGCATTTGAACAGTGTGAAGGTCAGGTTTGAAGGCACAAATAGGAGGGGGACCAACCCAATAAGAAAAGAAGTAATGTTTTGCAAAATGGCTGTCCCATGCTCTTGCAGGGAGCGCTTTATACATTGTGTCCTGGTGTGCTCAGTTGCTAATACAAACGTGTAAAGCAGTGGCGCACAGTGGTCAATGGCAAAATTCAAAGTGTAGATAAGGCACAAGATAGAAATGCAATCCATGTCGACATTCCACAGGGTCATTAAGCCCAGAACGCCCAGTTCGATTGAGGTGACACTAAGAATGAGCCAGAAGTTTCCCAGAGGGTGGATCACTAGGATGAAAGTCAGGATCAACACCAGGAGGACCCCAAAGCCTGCGATCAGGACAGGCACAGTGACTGACAAACTGTAATGGTCTGTGAAAACAAAAGAAGGGTTAAACACGATGAACCGGATGCTCTTTGAGAGAGACAGGGGCCTCAGCTTATCCAGAATTTCTATGACCTCCTTCTGGTTGTCCCTGCTAGTCCTAGCCACCAGATACAAGCGAGAAGCGATGATGTTGTTTTCATCCCCCGCCTTAGAGAAAATGATATCATTCCGAAAATGTTGGAATTCTGGCTTTTTTAAAAACGAGCTTTGTAGGACACTGATGAAGTCAGTCTTGTTATTGGCACTGATGTTGCTGACTTTCAGAAACTGATAGTACTGTTCCACCCAGGACACCGTAGTGAACCCACTACAGAGCCTCTGCAGATCCTCCTGGACACTGCTGTTCCAGTACTCAAGGGGTTCATAGACATAGAATCCTATGACGGGACTATAGTTGCTGAAATACTTTTGCTGAACCATGGCATAGGAAACACTTGGGGAGTCGCTGGCTAGTAGGTTGATGATGCTAGCTCCATCACTGATCTGCAAGCACCCCATGAAGGAGAAGGAAGCATAAATGAGATACAGGATGACCACAAATGGCTTCACATAGATATTGGTAATCCATTCATTGTAATGTTCTCGGAGGAAGTGCTGAATGAAATGGTGCTGGTAGGGGTTTGTCTCATGATGTGATGTCTGTTGGTGCCCGTCACTCATTACTGTCTGGAACCACACGGGTTTGCGGTCCAGGTACTCGGCAGAAGGAATCTTACAGCAAAAGATGCTGTGGTATCGATTTTGCTCTAGTTGTCCAGCAAAGACCAGGCAAGAGCCAAAGAAAGAGAAAATATAGAAGTAGTTCAATAGAATAGAGACACACATATTCTGACAGAAGATCTTCACTGCCTCTATGTTTGTGAAGGGGCTGGCACCCATACCAAACGTGATGAAGTACAGGGAGCTGGTCATGGTGTAGGTGACCATCACATCAGAATAGGCATCTGCTACCCTGTCTTTGAAGGGTAAATTCTCTTTGGTTCTCCGCCATCCAGATAGAAGCTCAAATACTCCTTTAGTTCCATGACCTAATGTTAAAAGAAAGAAAAAGAATAGTTGCTTTTATTTCTACCCATAGTTCAAGTGGATTGCCACATAAATTATTGATACTAAATGTACATACTCTATTCTTCGAAGTAGGGTTTTTTCCCTTACTAGCAACTCAGAGGATACATTTGGTCCCTGTTTACACTCGAGTAAAGACTGAGTTTATTGCTATTCTGGGCAAAACATATTCATTATCTATTTTGTTTACCTGAAAAGTTGTAGATGTAATGCTGTATCCATATGATATTTTCTCCCTGCATGCTCAGTCTTCCTACATTGTCAAGAGCAGAAGCTGTTACCTGAATTTTTAATATCAATGTACGAGCTTGGCTAACTCACCGCAGTCCTTTGAAATGGATTCATGTGCTGTTTTATTGAATTGAAAGATGGTATCAAACACTTAAATGGCTACCTTTAAAAATAGTTGTGATAATATGCTCATTATATTCATATTGGTTTTTTCTGCTATTTTTTCTTTCTTATGGGTGCAAGGGTGTTTACACATGCGTGCTGATACACGTGCATATGTGAATTCAAATGATTTCAGGAATGCTTTTGATAGTTCTCCAACCTTATTCTTTTGAGGTAGAATCTCTCAATCAGACCCAGAGCTCACCAATGAGGCATGTCTCACTTGCCAGCTTGTCTTAGGGATCCCATGTCTCCTCGTTCCAATGCTAGACTGCAGGTGGGTCACCATGTTCACCTAGCATATAAGTAGGCCCCAAGAACCTGCACCAAACTCTGGTTCTCTTGCTTGAGCATCAGGCACTTCAACCACTGAGTCATCTTCCCAGATCCCTTCTATGAATTTCAATGTAAATCAAATAAAAATTCATTTTGTGTGCATGTGCATTTGTGGTGAACGTTGGCACAAGATGCCCTGGAACTGGAGTAACAGGTGGTCGTGAGGTATATCATGTGGGCTCTGGGAATCAAACCCAGGTCTTCTGCAAAACTGTGATGTGTTCTTAACTGCAGAGCCATCTCTCCAGCTGCAGGTTTTTTATTCATTAATACTGGATGCACCTGGAAAAGTTTCCTAGGTCAGATAAAAGACCCTGGGCCCAGAGATCTCCACGAATGCTTCTGAGATCCTTAGAAGCTTTTATTTCCATGGTGACTGAACAAACACCTTTCTTTCATGACTGTGGTTGAGGAATACTTCTTTCTAACAAATTTCTGGTCACCCTCTGATATATATGGTATATAAGAATGAACAGGCAAAGGATTTAGTCAACATATATTACCTAGAAATCTGCTCTCTGTTCTTGGCTCTGTCTGGTTACTTACAAGAAAATGAGAGGTTTCAAGAAGAAATTACTTTCTTACTAGCAAAAGAAGAAAGCTGCTATAAAAGCAAGTATATTAGACTGTAATTGTAATTTCCCCTTTTTCCTCCACTTCCTTGAATCTCACCTGTCTATCATCACCAAGAGTATATGCAGTGGTAACTTTCTGCCTGGGTAGAAATCTTCATAGATTATCCTTTCCATTGTAGGCGGAGCAATCCCAAACACAAAGCAGCCATGTGAACTGTCAGAAGCTGTGCTTGGGTTGTTCTCCAAGAAGTGTATTAGACAATGATGACATTGAAGAATACAGAATGACCTAGTTCACAAAAATCTGGATAGTGACCCTTGTGTGTTACCTAGATACTGGAGTTAAGTAAGATCTCCACCCACGATTCAGTTAGCAGTGCTTTAGCGGAAGACACTGCAATTGCTACAGGCTTAGCACAAGTGCTCTGGGCTCATATTGGTGGAAGATTTTGTGACTTGATTCCCAGCATTCATTTCCTTCCTTCCTTTATTTCAGACTTATTTTCTAGAGTGTTTTCAACTATGGTGCTCATATGACACTGTGCTATACAATTTAGTGTAACTGGGACTCATCTAAGGAATCAATTGTAAAACCCAAAGTTGTTTTATCCTAAACAGCACCATAGAGTCACTTGGAAGAGCCACAGGCTTCCTCTGGAATACCTCATGTGATTTTGTTAGATGTGGTTGAGTCTCTTCCTAGAACAGTAATGCATTGCAGGAGAGTGAGCATTTATAACCTCTTTAATGGATAGCCAATGAGTCATGTTTCATAAATTTATTTGATGATAGTGTGTATAAATTTAAGTATGTATGAGGTTATGTATGATTTTCAAAGCATATCAGCTCTCTTTCTGGAGCTGTTAGTAATTAATTATTAATAACTTCTAAAGGGAATTAAGCAGTAGAGTTCTTACCTCAATTATAAAGCCTTTGGTGTCTTTTCTGGGTCTCCTGTCTGGAAAGATGTTATCCTATCAAGTAGAAAGGATTACGAAACTGCAGATGGGCAAAAGGTAGGATTAAAAATATTTTTGGAGGCATCCATCTTTTACTTCCCTAGTACGATCATAAGCTGAACACTGGTGTTGAAAAAATATTGATAAAACAAACAATGATTGTTCATTTGTTTCTTCTGTAAGACTCATTGACTAAGAGGAATTCTTTCTCTCTTACTCTTTGTCAGCGAAATCTGTTATGATAGTGGTTAGAGTCATTGAAATAAAACTTTAATTATAGCACCTTTCTTTAGAAATGAGGGCATTAGTTTTCTTTGTAGTCACTAAGGATGGAAACGCCACACAGTGCTGAGACTAAATTTGGCTTGCCTTTGTTAATGGTCATTTTAATGGAGCACTGAACAACCTATGTAGGGCAGGTTTTTGTTTTTTGTTTTTGTAGTACAAAAGTCTCTATGTGTGGCTCAGTGATGATGGCTGTGTTAGGTTTACCTATTCATTCAGAATAAAAATGTGATCTTTGGACATGGCATGTAGGTAATGGTGTAGGTATTTTATAAGGTTTTCCCGTGACACTTACTCTTCTGACTCTTCTGGTTGTCACACAGTTTGGTCACTTAGCAGTTCAAACTCATTGGCTGCCCCAGAAATGGCTGTTGGTTTATGGTTTCATGAATATGGCTGTGACCAGTCTTACCATCTCAGTTTTGTTCATCTGATTGTCTGTGTCTCTCATTGCTTCCTGTGCTCATTAGTCTGTTTAAGGTCAGCTCAGTCCTCTTTGACAGAAAACCATATCAGACGGTCCCAGTTATACTGACATTTTTATATTTCCTAAAATCTTATCTGAATAATTATTCACTTATTTATGTCTTTAGCCACAAGCCAACTTGCTATGGAACAAAAATTTCTCAGGATAAATTTTATTCTGGTTAGGGTGTATATTCAAAATTAGGAAATGAATTGCATGTCACTTTGTTCTGGAAAGTATTATTTTTGTGCAGAATATACAAGACCATTAAAGACATCTAGAACATATCCATTAACATCTTTTGTTTTTGAGATAGGGTCTCATATAGCAAAAGCTGGCCAGAACTTTCTATATAGCCAAGAACTACTGTGAACTCCAAGCCTCTTTTTCCACCTCTCTAGAGCTCTAACTCACTGCATGAACCTCTAATTAGTGCTGAAGATCAAGCCCAGCTCTTTGTGCATGTTAGGCAAGCATTCTACTCACCAACTTCCATCTCCAGCCCATTTACCTCTGACTATAGATAACCTTCAAACATATTTTATCACAAATTAATTATCATAAATTGTATGTATATATTATATTATGCCAGTATCAATTCTATCCAGAAGAGCTGTGTACTGTTTAATGTTATACAAACAAAATACATCTACCTAGGGCTTTTAAATAAGCCAACACATAAGATGTAAAGGCAAAGAAGAAAATCTTTCTTGACATGTCATTCATCTCAGGCCATTTTGATTCACATGATACTTAGAGAAAGAGATCTCGTGGTCTAATATACCTGCTTTAAAAGTAGGAATATATTCATGCAAAAATAGTGTCACTATGATGAAACCATTAATATTTCTGGAAAAATAATGATGCAGGGACATTCGAGATAAGAATAGGTAAAAGTGATTTGGGGGTAGATACTATTTATACCACCAATCCTTGAGAAAATATTGTCAGTGGAAACAGCCTGAAAAAATTGAGTCCTTGAATATATATCTTAAATACATATATTATATGTTATCATAAAGGCATATGAGTGTATGTACGAGTGTATTACCTCTATGATAATTCAAGAACTCATTCAATTTTTTATGTTTAAACATAAATATTAAAGGTGGTGGTGGTGGTGCATTCCTTTAATCCCAGCACTTGGGAGGCAAGACAGGTGGGTCTTTGTGAGTTCTAGGACAATCTGGTCTACAGCATGAGTTCCAGGACAGGTTCCAAAGTGTCAGAGAAACCCTGTCTCAAAAACAAAAACAAAATACAAACAAAGCAATTAAATTGTTTAAACCAACAGACAGATACTCACTGATGTAAAATACCTATGCAAGCCTAAGCTACACCAAATCCCAGAATAGGGAGGGGAGCTGGGCATGCATTTCTGTCCCTATAGGAGGAGCTATTGACAAATGTTGGGTGCTAGGAGAGGAAAGGTCAGCCTTCCCTGAGAGTATAGCCCTTGGTGACTTGGCTGTGCTCCAGAGGAGGACCACACGGTAACACACACTGATCATGATGAGAGAGAAAACAGGGCACAAAGTTGGGTGGTAAGAAAAGGGGGTGTGAATATGGGAATAGTTGCAAGAGTTAGTATGAACAAAACACATTTTATTAAATTCTCAAAGAAATATTAAGTAATGTAAGTATTACATGGAGAAATGAGTGCTTGGTGAATATTTTGTTTAATGTCAGGATTTATCAATCTTGAAACTACTATAACCTTTGTCTGTATAATTCTTTGCTTTTGGGGCTGTCACATACACTGTAGGAAGTCTAGCTTTATTCCTGTTCTCTACCCATCCGAACTCAACAGCACACCCACGGTCATGGCAATAAAATATTCCTTCAGACATTGATATATATTCCCTAGGAATTAAAGTACCCTTAATTGAGAATTACTGATTTAATTGAAAGAAAAAAAATTACTTACACACATACCTGCTTAATTAATC